GGGGAGGTGTTCTTGCATGAATAAATGACATAGAACTAACCTCTGTCAGACAGTTTGTTTTTTAACGATTATGTATGAAAACTGTATTCAAGTCAAAGGAATTCTAAAGTAACATTTAATATGCTTTAATTTTGAAGGGTTAAGTATATCTGTACTAAAACACAGCAACAGGAGGATGGAGGTAAGGTGTTATTTTATGTAAAATGTAATAGTTCGGCTTTCCATTTTGCTGAAAATGGCAGTCATATTCTGTAATATGTTACTTTATTCTTTGATAAAATTGCCAGCCATTGTTGGCTCAATCTTGTGTAAAATATAAAAATCTAAAAGGCTTTGAAAAGTATAGCACATGTGTAATTATTCTCATAATATAAGAACAAGAGGAAACTGAAAGGCAACACATTTACAACTGACAAAAGTAAATACTTTGGATACAACAGATTGTTGATACAGTACATAGTAATATCTGGGGCAATGAGTTCCATAGATTAACTATGCATTGTATCCGAAGTATTTGCCTCTCTCAGTTTTAAATGTGTTGCCTTTCACAATGAAGTTCTTTCATGGATGTAATCATCATACCAGTAGCATTGAGTAATGCTGGTAGAGAGGAAGAAACCTTGAAATTAAACTGTTATCGAGTCATATCATGAGGTATGAATAAACATGGGTAAAAAGGCAATTAAAATTAAGGAAGATGTTTGAGAGGGTAATAATGCTGAGACCAAAACAATCAGCTTTATTTCTTCCGTTAAATTATACTGACATCTAGAGGTTTAGCATTTGGGATAAATCAAACAATTTAGATAAGAGGTATACAGATTAAACTAAGAGAGAGAGCCTCCCAACCTCAGACTTTTAAAACACAGAAATCATTGCACTGAGTAGTACATTCAAACTTTTATTTGCTCCATTGGAGAAATACTAGTGCGACTCTGAAATTACTTCCAACTGAAAGTTAATGTTGGCTAAACAGCATCATGCATGTAAGCACACAGAGCATGCCAATTACTACTTAAATGTTTCTGTTGAATCAAGATACTTGGAGCATTCATTTATGCATCAATAGTACCCAGCATGTTTCTAGCTAATTTTTTCTTCCCATATCCTACCCATATAGGCTCTGCAATTTATTTTGGACCAAGTCCACATTACTATAATCATGTGAGTAGTCGAATTAAGAACACTCATATAATCCTCAAAACTCTTCCAATTACAGGATTGAGTAGGTTTCATTTACAGAGGAGAACAAAAATATTAGTAATATTTATACATAAGGTAGTCAACTAGACCAGTTAGAATTTGTTCTTTGAACTACAAAACCCCCCAAACAAAACAAAAAACACTTAAGCATAAGACTAGCTCTACTCATGAGAGTGCACAAAGACTTGCTTAAATTTGGGGGTACCAAAAAACCGATCAGCCTTTGAATAGTTATCATGCTATTCACAATTTTTTTCAGCTTGTGCATAGACACTCACTGGTCTTTTAAGGTGTTGCACCACAGCAAATTCTTTTCCCAGTGCTAAATACTTAGAAATAACCTGTGGATGAAATAAATAACCATCACCCATTTAACTTACTAAGTAAACCGTTTTTCTTTTTCCCTCGTTAAACACGAAAATTTATGAAAGAGTATCCTTCTGTACTTTTCTTGCTTAGAATTATTACCACCTCAAAAGTGTGCATTTAAAATTCAAGTACATGCTGTGTAGGAAGTTGATAGTTATTTTTTTTCCTGGAACTTGCAGTTTCATCTGTCACCAGAGACATTTCAGCCTTTAAGAACAGTTCCACTTGCTCCTCTAGTGAACAATAGGATCAACAAAAACACCAGCCACAACAAAATCCTGAGTATTATGGATTCAGTACCTTGTCCTACAAAGCCTATTGGTAGATTCCAGCAGTGTCAGTCAGGCAATCTGCAGCAAGGGCAGACTAAACATGCTGTAGGCCAGTCTCGTAGACGTGTTTCTGATAGCTCCGTCACAACAGGACACTTGCCCTCATTCAGAATGGATAATTATTACAAATATTTTGGAGACATAAAAGAACAGGAAACTGAAAAGAACCAAAATATAGGTGGTAATACTGAAGAGAATGAATATGAAAAATGTCTGCTTCCAGTACTCTGCAGGAATGTAAATATTGTGGCCACCCCCAATGTTTCTGATGACAATCACGATTATTTCAACCCAAGTGAAGTGACCAACACTGAGAAAAACTGTAAAATACTTGCAGCTCCTGCATCAAGTAATGTAGATTATTCCAATTTAGGAACTGACAACTGGGAAAGTGATTTATTTGCAAGGAGTTCTGTCAGAACTGATCTACAGGAAGTAAATGCTTCCAGTTTGACAGGTTATAGTAGAGATGCTGAGCCTATGAATGCTGTGCTTGTACCTCATGTTTTAGATTCAAGCTGCACAAGTGAAGCAATAGAAGCATGTCCTCATGTTCTAGAAGGTAGTTCTGCAGCTAAAATTATTTCAAGTGTGGAAGTTTACTTTTCTCCTGAAAATCAATCAGGAAGCAGCGTTTTTCCAGTAGACGCTGGAGCTGAAAAAGTAACAATTTCAGAATTAACTGAGACAAAGGTTGGAGAATTGGCACCTCTGGTCCATGTTACATTTTCTGAACAAGAGCTACCTAAGGCACTACAGATTGCTAAACGTCCTGCCAGGAAGAAGAGCATCAGCCGTAGCGTGCCTCCTAATGCAAGTCACAGCTTCAACATACTTGCTCTCAAGCTAAATGACAAGAAGATCAAGATGGACAGGAGTATGTGTGTTGCAAAAACTAAAGCAAGCAGCAAAGCATCTCAAGATGTCATTGTCTGTGACAAGAATTCCACAAAACGTCACATACACAAGACCAGCACCAAGAACCAGATTTTCCCATTTTTACAATCGTCTCATATGGAATCTGAAACATCCTCAAAATTTCAGGAAAAGCAGCCCCAGCAGGAGACGTATAATTTCATTCAGCATGCCCATAAATCTAAAATGCAAGTGTTGCCCTGCACCAGCAGAAATGCAAGCAACTTAAGGAAACCCGTTGCTCCACTTCATGTTCCACGAGCTCAGTCTACCTCAGATTTCTTGAATCTGAAATACAGTGACATGTTCAAGGAAATCCATTCAACTGACAAAGGCCCAGGAATTTATGAAATGTTTGGGACTCCTGTGTATTCCCAAGCACGTGAACCTGAACAAAATGAGAGCAGGTTTTACAGGGATGTGTGTTCTGCTCCACATAGGGGATGCACTGCTAACAGATGTAAGCCAGCTCGCAGTAGGGAGAGAGTGAGCAGTCGAGTGAGAAATGCCCAGAAGAGAACACATCCTAAACCCAAGAAGAACACAACTGGCAGTAATCAAAAGCACAAAGAGAGAAGCACTGAGTTAAATGATAGCAATACAGAAGGAGATGATACTGTAATAATTTCTGGTCCAAACTGGCACATAAAGACTTCAAGGAGTACAGTGTTGTGTCAGGAAGATGAAGATCAGCAGCATTCATTTTTGGAAGAGTTTTCACAATCCACTAAACTAAATGAAGACTTTCTGAATTCAGACCTGTCAACTATTAAAGAGGTCTCTTTGGAGCAGTCTTTAGACATTGGAGATATAACTAATAATCCAATATTTGCTACCACTAACCAACCATTTTATGAAAAAGGCTGTGCAGAATGTGTCACTCTGGAGAGCAATTTACTAATGACAGATCAGCACAAGTGTGTAGTACAAGGAAGAGTGGATATGGATGACTCCACAAATCTAGAAAAAAACCAAATCTTCTGCAACCTCAAAGATAAAAATGAAGCGCTGGTTGCATGGTCTTTTCCAGACAAACTGGAGTGTGAATCTTCTCAAAGGGGATTAGATAAAAGTTGGGCACGCATCTGTGAAAATAGTAATTTAGCAGATGCATCAGGTCAGCATCCAACTAAGCAGAATATAAATGCCACAAGCCCAATTTTCCAGACTTATCAAAACATTCTCTCTCATGCAGAAAACAAAGAACTGACTGATGAGTTGCTTTGTTGTCTGGCAGCAGGATTACTAGTGCTCAAAGAAAAAGACACCAATTCTTCTAGAATACTTATGAAAAATCAAGGTTCAAAACTGCAAAATATGTTTGCTAAAGAAGAAAGATGCATTGTGAATGGAGATGGAAAAGTAGTAACCAGTGAAGAACAGGTAAAAAACAAGTTCCTCCTACTTTGCATGTTGTTCTTCATGATGTGGTGCAACACCCAAAATAAGGAATGGGAGCCGTCATGTCAGTCAGGCTGAGGCTAGCCAATCCATGTGCAGAATTTTAATGACCAGGTCCTCCTCCTCCTAGTGGTAGGCTCTTCCCTATTTGAATACTTTGAGAACTGGAGGGAAAATGTGGTTAGCCTACACTCTTAACTGTTTAGTCCCATTTCCTGGGCCCAGCTGCCTGTCATGTATTCCAGGAGGGTATCCACCTACCAGCTACCATTAAGGATAAATAAATCTGTGCAGACCTGGGGATGATGACAAGGATAACTAAGAGGAACAAAGTTAATGCAATGAGCACAGATATACTAAGAAAATGGTTTATATTTTTAATGTAACAGTACTTACCTATGACATAGCTCCTGTGCCAACGAATTGAGCAGGAGCCTTGCAATGCAATAATTTCAACAGCATGTTATAAGGAAGAGTCATGTCAAATGTTCATTCATATATCAAAACAACATTACAATTAAACCTTTTTCTTTCTTTCTGCTACTCTTCCCCACTGACTAAAGAGCTATAGTGAAGCCTTCTTAGCATCCAACAGGGAAAATGACTTGTTAAACTTCAGTGATTCTACCAACTTACCAGAAAGCAGCTCAGCTAATGATGATCCCATCATCTGGACCAGAGGTGAAATCCTTGGCAAGGGAGCCTATGGCACAGTAAGTTTAAGTCTAAATACAGAAGGCAAATAATACATATTTTTGAGCTACACCATTCTTTTATGAATCTTTTATTAACAGTCCATTTACTGTAGGACAAATAGTTTGACTACTAAAATGAAAACTAAATCAACATTTATGATTAATACAAATCTATATGCTTACTTATAAATTGACTCTCTCTTTATAATGGTTACTTCTAATAAAGGCTGGTTTCATTCCAGGTGTACTGTGGTTTGACAAGCCAGGGACAATTAATAGCTGTGAAGCAGGTTGCTTTGGATACATCAGACCAAGTCAGTACAGAAAAAGAGTATCAAAAGCTGCAAGAAGAAGTTGATCTGCTGAAAACACTAAAACATATTAACATTGTAACGTATTTAGGAACATGTTTAGCAAATAATATTGTAAGCATTTTCATGGAGTTTGTACCTGGTGGCTCAATTTCTAGTATTATTCATCGTTTTGGTCCATTGCCAGAAATTGTTTTGTGCAAGTATACAACACAGATTCTACAAGGGGTTGCATATTTACATGAAAACCGTGTGGTGCACAGGGATATTAAAGGCAATAATGTTATGCTAATGCCAAATGGTGTAATAAAGCTAATTGACTTTGGATGTGCAAAGCGTTTAGCTTGGGTGAGCCTGAATGGCACACAAAGTGAAATGCTGAACTCTGTGCATGGGACTCCTTATTGGATGGCACCAGAAGTGATCAATGAATCTGGGTACGGAAGAAAATCAGACATCTGGAGCATTGGCTGCACTGTATTTGAGATGGCAACAGGCAAACCACCTTTGGCTTCCATGAACAGAATAGCAGCAATGTTCTACATTGGAGCATATAGAGGACTGATGCCTCCTTTACCTGACCATTTCTCAGGAATTGCAGCAGACTTTGTGCATGTGTGTTTAACCAGGTAAGTAGCTTTGTAATTTAAAAAAAAAGAAAGAAAAGATGCAGTTTTGAAATAATCTATTTTGATCTTTAGTGCAGTTTACTTGATTACTTTAAGCTGGTGGTTAGCAGTAGAAGACTAGGTAGAAGGCAGGGCAGCACTCATTCAGAAAGCCATAAACTTTAATAGGCTACAGCTACTCCTCTCTGCTAACGGAAGATTAGGTTAACTTAAGGAAAACTAGCTGTGACAGGGTTTAATTTAAAGGAGGCAGTGGGCATGTCTACACGTCCATCATGCTTTAGTACTTCCTTTTGGAGATACCAAAGCACAGCACTTTATGGGCTGTTACTGTGCTGTGCAAGCTGCGTATGGTGAAGTTTCCCAGCCACATCACCATAGCGGTGTGCTATACTGGGGGAGGGGCACACCACTACAGCAGCATAGCTGGCAATCACGGGGAGACCCACACCATCTCTGTGTCGCCATAGTGTGCCACTATGCTGCCGTAGAGTGAATTATAGATGCGCCCAGTGTGACCTGTTAGGCTTGGTTTACTAGTCTTCCCAGAAAATTGTGAAGGCTCCAAACGCCACAATGGCATTTACCAAAAGCTGTTAATCTCTTATTTTGCAAATCTTCCTTCCCAACAAATATTTTGGCACCCTATTTCCATGGACCATGCATCCCTTTGATTGCTAGGTAAAACTCCAAATTAATTGCAGTGGAGACTCCTGCTTAACAGCCCCCCCATGGCAGGATCTGACCCACAGCTTGAAAATAGCTTTCAAAGCTGGATCTTGAATAAAAGCATCTTATGCCATTCTAAGTTTATATGAGGAAATTCTTATGCAAATGACAGTCTAGGAAATTCTGTTTTGGAGGAAAAAAAGTAGCTACTCTTGCTATAGCACCCACCCACAATGGGAGTTAAGATTTGCAGCATTTACTTTTTTAAAAATTAGCTTTAGACTTTTTTATAAACATTTTAAAATAAACTTTTACTCCCCTACCTCTTCTTCCCCAGTACAAAATGAAAATTGTATTTGGCTGGTAAAACCACAAAGGATGACCCTGGCAATTGTTCTATATTGTTCTGTTCCCAGTGAAATGAGGGCATAAATAAGCAGGGCCCTACACAGTAAGCAGCTTGGGTTTGAACAAATTCATTTTACCACAGTTTGTCTGATGATATGTAAAGAGAGTGAGATTTAATGGGAACTTGACTTATTTACAAAAGGGAGCATAGAGAGAAGAGAGAGATTTGGTACACTGATTGGCTTTTACGCACTGAATGGGAAAGAGGAGTTGAATAGAGCAGTAATAAAGCTTGTATAAAGTCCTTCATTGGGAGTAGTTCCTAAAAAATACGCAGAAATCAAGGGAGATAAATCTTTTTCTGTCCCTCAGTCTACATTTGAAATAGTAATCCAAATGCCCAAGGAAAACTCCAAAAGCCCAGACTGGAGAAATCCCAGAAAACAGCAATTTCCGTTTTAACACTCACGTGTGTCAGGAGTTTCCCCAATATGATGTTGGATTTAATAAAAGTCTCGCTCCTGGAGCTAGGAGATCATTTGAAAATCTCAGCTTTAATTTGAAAATCAGATAGAAGAAAAAAGGGCTTGAAAAACAGAAAAGTTCTCTGCATCGTCCTTAAGTAGTTTTAATGAATGGCAACAGTATCAGAAAAACAAACTAATGGGAAGGCATGAAGATGAGAGGGCTGTAAGAAGCTACTTTATAAATTTAACAATACTATCACATGAATCTCAAGCCTTTTCCTAAGGCTGTTCTAAAAATGAACTGGGGAAGTTGCATGAAAATAGCAATTTCAGATTTTATTTTGAATTTACAGTATATTTCCAATTTACAATACTGTACATTTGGCAACTGATTTATGTATCGATTTCCCACCCTTCATGCAGAGATCAACACGAGCGCCCTTCTGCTCTCCAGTTGCTGGAGCACCCTTTCATCAAAGGAAAACAATGAACTTTTCAAACCTCACTTTATATTTTTCTCTTTAATTTTATTGGTCAGAAAAATTAAATTTGCATTTGATTTGAAAACAAACAGGAGTGTAACTTACAAGAGGCCAAGAAATCAATGAAATGGCAGAGGTCTGTTGTGAGGCTGTGCAAAGATTAAATTAGAGGTGAATTTGTAACCATGGATCTGTTGTGAATTTTTTTCTTTAAAGTGTTTAAGCATTTGCTTTTGGAAACAAAAGCAAGTCTCAGATTTCATTTAAACTTGAAAAGGCTATCCCAGAAGCTGTTAAACAATACTTAACAAAAGAGTTGGAATCCTATTTCCCTGCAAATATACAAATGATAAAATACCTAGTCACAACAGAAAGAACACCTAAGGCAGCTGGAACTACTGCACAGGTATTCTGGTTTTGTATAACCAAACTTAATTTGTTATCTGACTACTTAAATGCACTTGAAAGGCTCACTTGGAGAATTAACTTACCTTATGTCAACACTAGCATTAACAGTGTTTCATGTAGAGAAAGATCTACGTAGATTGAAAGATCCTTTAATTCCAGTTGGATACTGAACAGCACGGTTGGACACATTGACATCAGCTGGCAGTCTTCTCTCTCCATTTGAGCTGGACTTTATTAAACGTTACATTAGCAAGTGATAATCACTGAATATACATACTTGGCCATAAGGCATATTTCAGGATTGTTTCCTATTCTGAGAATATGAATGCTATGATGGTTTCAGGAATTTCTTCCTCTTTTCACTACTGGTTTTAAGTTCACTTTACCATAGTTAAGTAGTCACTGATTGACATAGCTCAAGAAACAGTAATTTATATGATGGGGATAAAGTTTTCAGAACAGCCATTTAACCTATTATTAAAACAATAGTATTAAACAATCCTTTCATGCTGAAAGGGAAGGCCACCCTTTTCTTAAGGGCTGATGGATGTTCTCAGTTAGATGGATGCACTGTGCCAGCATATCCAGACTATTGCGGACATGCGGTATGTGGGTCTGCAGTGCCACACACTACACGTGCAGCCATCCCCTGCATTGCTACTTTGCAGCATGGTGGGAGGTTTGACCCAGGGAGATCCTGTGGTCAAAAGAAGGGGGTGGTATGCATGGTGGCAGTGTGTGCTGCCCAGAACTGGAGCTTGGTTGGCTGGAATTATGCTCTAGCTGCCGGCTAGGCTTCCTACTGCGGGAACGCTGCAGCTCCTGGAGGCCCCCAGGAGTCCAGGTAAGGACTCTGGGGCCAGCACAGTTGCTGGCCCCAGTCTCCCCTACCCCCCTTGAGGTAACCTGCCACATGCCAGAGCACATGGCATGGGTGTTCCCCGAGACAAGCAGAGCAGCACACAGTACGCTGCTGCTACTTGTCCCTGAGGAAATGCATATTCTGGATGTGCCTTGTCAACTTTGTTTTTTAACCAAAAGCAGACAGATTGTGCGCTTCTAAGCACTACCTATAGGAATTAGGAAATGCTATTTTAATCAATGCAGACTATCTACAAATTTGATATCCTGGCTCTGAAATTTAAAGCAATAAATAAAACTGATTTGAGAGTTTATATAGACAAACAGGCACTGAGTATATAGTAATCCACTCTAGTAGAGTTGGATGAAAACTGTATTTTTCTTTAACCCATCATCAAAACAAGTTTGCAATCATCTATGTAAGTAGTCACCATAAAAGTTCACTAAGAACTTTATACAAAAACAATGCACCACATTTTTTCATTAGAGAAAATTAGTGTTTAAAAATATTTTAAAATTAAACTATAATCTATTTAGCTGGTTTTCAGCATTCTGAGATGCCATGGGATTGGACCAGATTATATACACGACCTACTGAAAATTCAGATTTGTATATTCATTGTGTTGCCAGACACAGAGAACAAATGTCAGGAACATCTCCTCTCAGTGGGTTGGTATTTAAGGAATTGCTTTTAGCACCAGCAGTATTCTGTACATTGCGAAACAGATAGCTGGTAGAGCAAAATGTGTTCAAACTTTTACAAGGTTAGAAAAATGTAAGTTATATAAAAAGCTTACTTATACATCTTCTATATAAAAGTTACCTTTTATATAACGTTACTTGTAGCATTTTATATTTCTGACGGACTTGAATCCATTCCCCCCGCCCCCCATTTTGTATTCTTCCAGTATTCATTTTAGAGAAATGTGCTCATTTGGCCTAAGATTTCATAGAAGTGAAAAGAAAATGGTTTCCGCTACCAAAATCCTTTATTAATGCTTTCCATAAGATATAATGTCACATGATAACAGTCTGAAAACATCATATGCCAGTAAAATAATCCTAACTTCACAGCAATTTTCAAAATCCAAGTAATCAGTCCCATTTTAATGCACTATAGCTTGGTCCTTATACCAAAGTCCGCAGGAACTCCAGTATCTTCACATTAAAGTACTACGCAGAATAACTGTAGGAGCCCTGGCATGTGACCTGGAGTGGAATGATGCATGTTAGTTGCCTCCTCAAATTAGGGCAGTTTCTCCAAAAAAGGCTGCAAAGTAAAGACGAGCTTTCATTTAGCATGAAATGGTATCTAGATGCCACTCAAAACACATGCACAGATAGAAGGGGACAAGACATATGCATCTCAAGATTTTGCATGTACAAAACAAAAATTCTACCTTAACCATGGTGAAAGTCTTAAAGATAGCGTTGCATAATTTGCCTTGAAGTATTCCAAGTAACCCATAGGTTTTAATATTTAATATAAGAGCTTTTACATAACTAAGCATTGCAAGGTTAGCCCCAAATAGGGGATTTTATCAGCTTGTTAAAAGTTCCTGAGGTTTTGATGAAATCTGAGAGCACAGTTTAGCAGAAGGCTTGAATACAAGCTATTTAAAAATATTTCAGAGCTTTTGAAATTTTGTTTAAGCATTCAACTGTTAAAGCTAAAACATCTCCTAATGCATAACAGATTTTCAAGTAATAATTCACATACTTTAGATACTAGAGAACACAGAAAAGAGTCCTATCAACATACAAGTTATGTCAATGTAAAAGTAGTTTACGGGAAGAGGAATATATTATACTGATAACTGCATCTCTACTAGGGATTGCACCAGCAAAGAAATTGTAAAGCTGTACACAGACAGCAGCATCCAAAGCAACACAAAAAATTATCTGAACCATGCTCAATGGAGGGGGAAGAAAGGCAATCCAAAACAAAACCCACTTTTCAAGGTGATGGTGGCTTGTTTGAAGAGTAACTAAGTGATCCTTTGGGCTTTAATAATAAAGAAAAATGAATTCTGCCAGCCCCTTTATCTACCTTGATGTTGATATTTTATTTACACTAAACACATGATTTTGAAGCTTTGAACTACGTTACACGTTACAATTCAGATTTCATTAAAATAATTTTGGTCTCCAAATTTTGTCTTTGCACTAGTTTCCAAGTTGCAGGTTGAGGAGTTTTACGCTACATAAAGCCGTGTTCATCTTGGAACAGGTTATCAACCCTTTTCTATTGCAAGTCTGGCAGGCCTGCAACTTTAAAATCCTCCAAATGTACGCCAGTATCTTTTGAGCTTGTTCTGATGTTTCCAAGGCAACGCTAAATTGTGCAGCCATTCAGATGAGGATTACCTGGAATCAACATATTTTTATTTTACACAGCTGTCATCAGAACTAGGGTGCTATACAGATTAAAATCACATTAAAGGCTAGACTCTTCTATACCGGGAAAACAATTCAGAAGATAATCAGATGAAGGTGGACAAACAAAATGATCCACATGAACTGAATTGCCTGCAACTGTAAAGCTTTAAAGAAGCCCTGAAGATAGATGCAGTGTTTGTGGATGACATCTTTAGGGAATTTAAGATGCAGCTAAGGAGCAGAGAAGGCTCCACTCCAACTTCATAAGGCTTAGTGAAAAAGAAAAAACCTGACCAGCTACAATGTAACAACATGGAACAGATGAAGTATTTCATGGCTGTCTTGTATTTAGATTAATTCATTTGTCTGAGAACCAGTCTCCTAGTGAAACAATTTTGCTCAGAGAGCTTGCTTTTCCCCAGGTTCTGATTGTATAATATGTGCCCTCAAACTTGATGAGTTAAACTAAGAAGGACGAGGCAGAAATATTCAACTATATTTCTTCTGAAAATTCGTAAAACTAGCTGTTTTTTTAAAAAAGGGTTTTTTTGCTCACTTGTAAAAAGCACAATTTTGTCACTCAAGTGAAAGAATTTTCCTAATTATTTACAAACAAAACTAGGAAGGTAAGTATAGGAAGTGGGATACTTCTGCACTATATTGAGAGTGGTGAGGTAGGGAATTTCATTGGAAATATACCTTTTACATGGAGTTGTCCTTAAAAAGAATAAAGTGACAAAGTTTTTAATCTAACAAAAAGGGCTCTTTCCAAACTGCAGTTCACTACTCTAATAGGAAACATTTACAGTTACAGTTAGCAGAAAGGGTATACAGCACTTCAAGTTTTCCGCTAATTAAAATACCGAAGTACCAGAGCAGTGAGATCCCAGCACATTGGCTAGAGTACTTCAGCACTTCCATCACTAGCAATACAAGTATGGATTTCGTGTACAGAAGAATCTCACTAATCCACACACCTCACATATGACCAAAATGGCAGACTATCGCTGGGAGCTTGCAGGGACGATTC